CCTCTCCCAAGTCCCTTCCCTGTCTGCATGATTTCCTCAGGTTCCCAAGGGAAGGAAAACTTGAGGTATCAAGAGAAGGCCCCAGCTGTGCAAATGGAGTTAGTCAGTTAGTTATACTGCAATTCGTTTTTTACCCCTATTTACTAGAGTAAACAAACATCTACTCAATAGGAGACAAAGAAAGTCTTTTTTTATAATTTTTTAAAATGTATTTTATTGAATTTTTACAGAGAAGAAGGGGGAGGGATAGAGTGTTAGAAACATCATCGATGAGAGAGATCGATCAGCTGCCTCCTACATGCCCCCCAGTGGGAATGTGCCTGCACCCAAGATACATGCCCTTGACCGGAATAGAACCTGGGACCCTTCAGTTTGCAGGCCGATGCTCTATCCACTGAGCCAAACTGGTTTGGCTTTTTTTTTTAACTGAGGTAATTGTAGATTCACATGCAGTTATAAGAAACAATACATTTTTAAGAGATCCATTGTACATTTTTCCTACTTTCACCCAATAGTAACACTTTGCAAGACTACATATAGTATATCACAACCAAAATATTGACATTGATACAATCCACCAATCTTATTTAGATTTTCCCAGTTCTACTTATGTTTGTGTGTGTGTGTGTGCTATGCCGTTTTATTACCTGTATAAATTTGAATATCTACATCACGATACTGAACAGTTTCACAAATATTTCTCATGTTGCCCTTTTATAATCATGCCCTCCTTACCCCTGTATAAATTTGAATATCTACATCACGATACTGAACAGTTTCACAAATATTTCTCATGTTGCCCTTTTATAATCATGCCCTCCTTACCCCTGTATAAATTTGAATATCTACATCACGATACTGAACAGTTTCACAAATATTTCTCATGTTGCCCTTTTATAATCATGCCCTCCTTACCCCTCCTCAATCCCTAGGAGACACTAATCTTATCCTCCACTTCTAAAATTTTGTCACTTCAAAAATGGAGTTATATACTATGCAACTTTTTAGGATTCGTTTTTTTCACTCAGCATGAATCCATTTATGTTTTGTTTTGTTTTTAAATATATTTTATTGATTTTTTCCAGAGAGGAGGAGGGGGATAGAGAGTTAGAAACATTGATGAGAGAGAAACATCAACCAGCTGCCTTCTGCACACTCCCCACTGGAGGTGTGCCCGCAACCAAGGTACATGCCCTTGACCGGAATCGAACCTGGGACCCTTCAGTTTGCAGGCCGATGCTCTATCCACTGAGCCAAACCGGTCAGGGCCTCAATAGCTTGGTCCCTTTTTTATTTCATGATGTGGATGTACCACAGTTTAACCATTCACCTGTTAAAGAATACTTTAGCCCAGCAGGAGTGGCTCAATTGGTGCACCAAAAGGTTTCCAGTTCAATTCTTGGTCAGGACACACACCTGGGTGTCTGATTTGATTCCGGTTGGGGTATGTAAGGAAGGCAACTGATCACTGTTTCTCTCTCACATCGATGCCTCTTTTTTTCTCCCTCTCCCTCTCTCTCTCCCTCTCCCTCTCCCTCTCCCTCTCCTTCTCTCTCACCATATCTGCC